TCCCATCAAAGAATCAATAAATTTTACTTGCATTGTTCACAAAATTTGAGATTATCCTTTTTATCAACTTCTACTCATGCTCATCCACTTGCCAACCTTCAAGTTCAGTCAATTACTAGATTTAAGAGTATTAAAAGTTCTAAACTGTACTTTATGTTAAAGATGGTGATGATAATAATAATAATAATAATAAGTGTAGATGATTTATGTCATATTGAAAATATCATATTAAAAATATTATTTCACAAATATGTTCACAGTCCTCACTGTGATGAATCTCGTTCTTATTATTCACCTTGTGAGGATGGTGGCAAGGTAGGACTATTGATATTGAATAATAAACTCCCTAATAGTGAAATTATTAATTTAAGAAATTTAGATTTAGATGTTGAGATTGTTTGTTAGCCTAATCTAAATGTACAAACAAGTTTGTTCAAAAAAAAATTAGTTGTATGGTCATTTATTTTATAGTCATAAATTATAAATATTATAACTTGCAATGTATGTAACAGTTAAGCCAACATTTCCTAAGCTTATTCATAATCTGGTCAATTGAGTAAGATTCATGTTTTAGTTTTTATGGAAATGCAAATTAATAGTAATAAAGGAACTCAAATATGTAATAATCTAAGGTTTTAAAATAGTTAAAGTTAATTATATAGGTTTTCAAGAGGTGTTTGACTTGTTTTCAAATGAGGATAAATATGATATTAATATTCTTAACTTCTAATAACAAATTGTTTATGTTAACATGGTTTAAAAAAATAATGATTCTTAGCTATTATTGCATGTGTGTGATAATCTTCAATTCCATATTTTACTTGCCTCGTTTAAATTAAACTATTTTTCTATTTTTCTTTATTTCTTTAGATGAAGCCTTTATGTGTTCTAGTACTAGAAATTGGCAATTTTCTTCCATGACTAGTTGGATTGCTGACAAATCTTTTATAGTTATTTCTAATATGTAATATAACAAGTAATAATTAGTACTAATTGGTAGGAAGTTGGTCTTGATTTTGAATGTAAAACTCATGAGTGAAATACTAATAATTTTGGTAATATTTTTTATAAGAAAAAAGATGTTAACGAGTTGCATGGAGGGAATCTATAATATAATGTTGATGGAGGAAAAATGTGATATGATAAATAACATTATAGGTATGAATCATTTGAGTACAAAGTAACGTCAAAGTGTAATGAGAGAGCTTTTACAGGAGAAAAAGATAAGTTTCATAGAAGTAGATAAGATAGGTCTCAGAATTATATTTTTATGAGACTTAAAGCTTTTCATCTTTCTTTAAAAAGGTGTTAATAGGTGCTAAAAATAGATTTTTTGCAACAACTACAAGGATAGTACTTGAGAGAAAGCAAATATTTTATAAAAAAATTTGTTTTAGATTTAGTAATGGAAGTTCTATTGCCAAAGGTATGTTGTAAACAATTGGTTGAATTAGTTGTTAAATGAGCTAGCCTAAAAAAAATAATAGTGCATAAGAGAAAGCAATGACTGTGTAATTGTTTGAAAAGAACGCAAATGCTTAAATATTTATGAAACACACAGCTCAAATTATGACAATCTAAGAGAGTTATAAAGGTTATTAATCTAGATAATAATTATTTTCTTATCTAGATGAAAGAATGAGAGGATGTGGAAAAGATATTTGATAGAAGACATTGATTGATTATTGACTATTATTTGGTGATGCAATATTTTTTTTCTTTTTATTTTAGGATGATTCTAAGAGGGAGGATATTTAGATTCAAATTCCTAGTTTGTCCAAAAATAAAATACAATGATAAAAAAAAATCCTCTAGCAAATTAGTGACACTTTGGGGAGGAGTGTTAAAATTGATAATACTTTGAAGGAAAAAAGTGTGAATGGAGATTTTTTCACAAAAGAACTAAATTTACACAAATATACATTGAGGTTGACATTAAAAATATTTCGTTGTCTTGTTTTGAACTTAATGGTTGTAGTGAAAATACTTTGTGTGCAAGTGATTTACATCATTTTCAAGATGTCATTCAAAGTAATAATCATCTCATAGATACGTCAATGTGTAGCACTTGTGTTCATATAATTCATAATGAATCTCTTTCTTTCACCGTTTGAGGATGGTGGGAAGGGAGGAAAGACAAATGTTATATAATAGACTCTTTGATGGTAGAATAAATAATTTAAGGAATTTAAAATTAAATGTGGAAGTTGTGTGTTAATCTTTTTCAAATGTAGTTGTAATTTGTCCAATGATTTTTAGTTGCATGGTTTTATTTTATTTTATAGTAATTAATTATAAATATTATAACTTGAAAAATGTATGGTATAAAGGAACCAAAATTTTTTCCTAAGCTTATTTGCAATTTGGTTAATAATTGTAAGATTCAAGTTTTAGTTCTTATGGGGTGAATAAATTGTAGCAAAGAAACTTAAGTGAGTACTAAATTAAAGTTCCAAAATTATTAGAGTTTATCCTATAAGCTATTTAGAAAGTATTTGACGTTTTTGGGATGTAGATAAATGTGATATTAATATTCTTAACTCCTAATAATAATTTATTCTTTTTAATATAATTCAAAATAAAGATGATTCTTGGTTGTTTATGCATGCCTATGGTAGTCCTCAATTTCAAAATAGAAAGTATCTTTAGCAAAGGTTAATGTGTTAATAAGAATGTGAATCAACTTTAGCTAATGATGGGTGACTACAATGTTATATGTCTTCCGGTATTCAATTTCAAGATTGTCTAAGGCAATGTAATTTATATGACTTGAAGTTCAAAGGATCATCATTGACTTATAGAATATTTTTAAAAAATAGTTTGATAAAAGGAGTATGTAATGTTAGTTGGTGAATAAAGTTCTTTAAAGCTTCTATATATCACTTACCTTTTCTAAAATATGACTATTCTCCTACTCTTCTTTAGATGAACCTTATTATGACTATTTGACTTGTTTACAAATCTTTTAGAGAGGTTGTTTATGGTATTTCACATGACAATAATAATAATAATATTTGGTTAGAAGTTGTTCCTAATTTGTTTGTAAGACTTTAGATTAGACTAATAATTGTTTTTTAATTTTTTTATAGAAAAAATAAGACTTTCACTTGAAAAAGGATTTTCACTTGCAAAAGCTGACGAGAAAATTGTGGTGAAATATGATTCTATTCTTGAACAAGAAGAGCTTTTTGGAGTTAGACAAATAAGAGGATTGAATTAAATTTTGTAATAGAACCAACATCTTTCATATGTATGCAATTATTAGAAGAGAAAATGATGTAAGACGATGAAACAAACTTTATTCTAAATCCTAATCTTCGCAAGAAATTTTTTTCACCCATAAGTTAAATGTTGATGGGTCTTTAAACTCCATAGTCATAAACTTCTTGTGATAATTTAATTTGAGACTCATTTAATTAATTTTTTAAAGATTTTCTTGTAATATAAGAATAACTTAATAACTAAACTTAAATCATCGAAAATATTTTAAGGTCTTAGTTTAGCTCTCAGTTATTTATAGTATCTTAACCATTAGAGGTAATAGACTCTCAAGTTGTTCATTCTCGAATCTATCGTTCTCTTGTTACTCATAACTCATATCTGCCCTTTTATGCATTAAGAATATTAGTGAATTGTATTGCATCAAATTTTAGACCAAAAAAAAAATGTAATTTGATTATAAAATTATAGTGCAGTTTAGCATGAATTAGTTTGAAAAAAAGAATTAAAATCTCTTCAATACAACTAAAGTGATTTGGATTCGATTAGATAATTTAATTTTTAATTTAGTTAAAATAAATAAAATATTTTATATTTTTTACACTTTTTAAATTAAAAATACATAAAAATATATGATATACAAGAATAATTTAAAATTAATATAAAAATACACTTATTTAATCATAAAAATAATAAAATATATTCCAAAAAAATAATAATATAGAATAAAAATAAAATCATAAACAATTAAATATTATAATTTTTTTAATATAAATAGTTAAAAATTGAAGGTTTGGATTGGATCAATTTTTCAGATGGGATCCAATCCAATTAAAAAAATTATAATTTTCAATTTGTTTAACTTTTTGTTAATTTGATTTTTTTTTATTTTTCAATTCGATTTTTACAATTTACATTGGTTGATTACCCTCTTTACTGTACACCGATGTCATGAGTTTATCAGAAGCATCCGTAATAGCTTCTCAAACAACAAAAGATATAAAATTTATTAGATATTTAGAAAAACTAATAAAGCTGCCAATGTTCTGGTAAAGCTTGGGGCACTCTCTGAACACTAGGATCCACAATTTCATTTCTTTATAACATATTCAAGGAGCTTCTTTTTCCTATAGAACAGCCTCTTTGTAATTTCATTTCTTGAGTTTTTGGTTCCTTCGTTAAAAAAAAGTGTATTAACAAATTATAACACTAGTTTTTTATTTAACATATTTAAAAGTATAACATATTAAAATAATCCATTTTTCCAAGAAATAATCATTTTAAAAACTAATTATCTCTCTGTCTCACTCTCCATATATATAAGAAAAGCAAAATTCTGATCTCCCCGCGACTCATTTTCTTTTACAAGCACAATCACCGTTTCAGGAAAATAATAACAATACAGCAGCATTCTTCACCGGAAAGAATCTGTGATCACAATTCAGGCCAAGTGTGAGTGACGATGATTAAGTAATTTTAATATCTAGAAACAAAATTGTTAGTTTAAATAAAGAAAATTTTCTTAGAAGATAACAAAACCCGCAAACTCCCCCAGTAAGGCAAATTAGGCCCAATTTAAATGAAAAAGTACTTATTGTTATTGAAGAATAAAATTAATATAAAAAATATTTGTTTTATAATTGTTAAGAGTAATTTATATTTTTTTAAAAATTAAAAAAAACTTTTAAAAATAGAAAAATATAGATTATTTTTACCTTGTAAAATATTTCATTTGTTTTATTGCTTAATTTATTTACTCCTCCAATTACTAATAAAAAAGTTTATCCAAATGACACTAGAGACTCTGGTAAAGTTTTCACAGGGCAAACCTGTGAGTGACGGTACCTTCCAGATTTTTTATTTTGAAAAGAAAAGAAAAACAAAGTAGCTTCTACCGCCGCAGAAACAACTCTAGTCATGAACTCTCCACTGTAGCCATAAACGGTTTCTACAACTGATTGGCCAACGGGGCGTCGGCTTCGGTGTTGACCCAAAACAAAATACAGAGCTTCGGCTGATTGACACAGTTAATTCAATATTTATTTAGTAAAAACAAATAAATCATATGAAAGCTTAATATAATATATTCAGTACAAAAACATCTAAATAAATTAAAAAAAAACTCATTTTAATAAGTTTAACAAATTATTAAAAAAAGACACGAATCGTAATTTATTTTCATATATTCTCTACGAACTCTCCTTAATTGCATCCAAAAATATTGTTTGCGCAGATCGATGGATAGCATGAATTTTTCAACCAAAAATGTAAACGGATAGCTTAAAATATTGAAGTCAGAAAAACGAACCCTTTTAAATGGCCAAAATAAGAGAAATCCACGTCTCTCCAACCGAAAAGAGCACAACGACCGGCAACACACTCGACATCTGGCTTACGTTGTCCTTCCCACTGAATAACGACATGCATCTTTACATTACAATTGCTGTTCGTTCAGACGTTCTTAAGCCAAATTCAAACTCATTTGTAGAAGACCAACATAAGGGGGGAACACGTACAAAAGGTTAATCAATCATTCATATGACCGAGTCCACGACCAATTTTCTTTACCTGTTCAATTCTCAACTGAAAAACAGCTGCTGTGCCCCCAATAATTAATAAATATGCAAGATTCTTTGGCAAACCTGACTCTATCCGGAATCTTGATCCTTCAGATCTTTTGCAAAATGCAGAAAACAGGAATGTATTTTGCAAGGACGCAACTTACGAATCAGTTGAATTACTACGCGCAGATGATGCAGCAACTTATTGTTGCCAAGTAAATTGACATACGGCATCAGTCACCCGTCAACATATCAGGGAGTACATGAAACATGCAGTTCGAAAGCAAAAATAAATTAATGGTTAAAAATCATTGAAATTCTTGTTGATATGAATTTGAAAACAGACTTTAGGTGGTGGTTTGGGAGTTGAGAAACTTTCTCCCTTGGAAAATAAACAAAGCAGCTCTACATCGGAGAAAACAGCATAATCTTAAATCCAACTTTGAATCATAGTATCAAACAAATAACCCAAAAAAAGACAAAACTTTGTGAACAAACCAATGCATTAACACGACACTTTCATATTATAATGCTTGATTATTCCCTAACTAATTCTGAAGCTTTTTAAAAGCGAACATCATTTGGTCGGGTAGAAAATATAATCAGAATCAGCGAATTTTAAACTGTTTTCCAACCTTCCCCTATTGATGTCAAATAATTTGCTTGTCTTCATGCAAAGCTAATGATGGTTAAGATTTGAGATCATGAATGCAATAAACAATACAAAAGCATACATAAAACACACAAAACAAGGCATAAATAAAAAAGCATGCAAGCATTGTATCAACAAGTTTCAACCTCATAAGGGTTCTTCTGACAAAGGCCTCTTCCGGAGGAGCCTCCAATAAATTGAATTGGTGGTTTTGCAAATTAACTATAAGCTTGCTACCCTGCCCCCCAACCATGTAGGGAAGCCTGTGAAACACCGAAAAACAGTTAAAGCATCAGAATTAAAATTCAAGAAAATCAAACAAAAAAGCTCAGAAACGAAAAATACCATTGTATTCGAGTCTATTAATTAATCTATATATACTCATATATATATTTCTTTCCTTACAGCAATAAACTACCAGGAACAAGTAAAAACCAACTAAAGCTGCCCCCTTGCATCTAAAAACCTAGCACAAGCAAGGAAATTAGCATCATTTCTCGTCCCAATCCAGCATTTCCCTTTTCTCTTTACAACATTCCGTGCGTCTATACTTCCATTCCCATTCAACAAGTTTTCTGAATTTGCCTCATCTCTGCAAAAATCAATCACCAAAACGGATCAGTTTCAATTTCAGTTCAGTTTCCTCGAGTAAGAAAAAAAAAATACAGAGAGAGAGAGAGAGAGAGAGAGAGAGAGAGAGAGAGGGAAGCGTAAACAGAGAAAAGAGAGAACCTTGGCGGGTGCATCTGCGACCCTATAAGCATCGGCAGTGATCCCCACTAACCATAAGCCGGGGAAAACACTCTGAAACAAAAACAGAAAAACAGAAAAACAGTTAAGAAAAAAAGAAGCATGATAGGAGGAAGAGAGAAAGATAGAAAGATGAAGCGTACATCCATTTGTTTCTGAACGTTCTTGGGCCTCTTCCTGGGCCTACGAGCGGGCCTGGACCCAGTCATGACGAAGATGTCTTCTTCGATCTCTTCCCTCGAGAGAGCGATCCAGAATTTCCTCTTCTCCTTCTTCTCAGTGCACTGCGTCTCCGCGAAGCCTCTAAGCCGGAGCGATTTCGGCGCGGGGGTCTCGCCGTGGTGCTGAACCACTTCGTGAAATTCTCCGGTGTTGCTGTTATGGTGGTTTCTAGAAGCTCCAGTTCCGATCTCGAGCGCGGCCTTGGGGGGAGCTGGTTTCCGGGGGCGCAAGTTCCACGGCTTCTGAACGGTTTCCTCAGCTTCGGCGGCGTCGTCGGCTTCGCGCTTTCGGTCGCCGGCTTCGTCGTCGGTTTCGTCGTGGTGGTGGTGCTTGTGAGAGGAGGAGGGGAGTGCGAATCGGTTCCTGGCGGTTCTGGATCCGAGACGGTGAGGGCGAGAGTCAGGATCGGATTCGGGTTCGGAGGCGTGATCGGGGACGAGAGAGGTGCGGCGGTAGCGGTGGTGGTGGTTAACGTTGGTGCTGGCACCCCATTTTAAGAAGGGGAGAGCGAAGTTGTGGAGAGGTTGGGACTTGACCGGTGGCGGTGCCGGTGCGGTGGCCATTGGGAGAGGCACGAAGGTTGCAGTGAATGAAGATTGTGAAACGGCGTCGTACAGAATGGGGAATGAATGAGAAGAGTCGGTTGTTTTTTGAGAGAGAGAGAGAGAGAGAGAGAGAGAGGAGGCGCTGCTCCTGCTTGGTGCTTGCAAGGCCAAGCTATGGAGAATAGAATAGAGAGAGAGGGTAGTTCTTTCTTTGTATTCTTCTTCTACTGGTTTAATTCTAATTGCTCTTCTTCACACTTCTACCCTTTCCCTTTCTGTTTATTTACCTTTCTGTCCTTTCCTTCTCGTTTTAGGGTCCCAAATCCCACGACACGGCCCACGGGTGCATGCTGCCCGCTTTTCCTCTGTTATCAAAACTATTTGCTTATACGCACGAAACACACAAAAACCTCCTCGGTTCGGGACTCACCCAAAAAATGAGGACCAGTTTTTATTTTTAATTTTTAAAAATTATATTTTAAATAATTATTTTTAAAGAGAAAATAAAAATAAAAATTATATTGATAAACAAATTTTTTTATTTAAAAAAACTGCTTTTAAAAACAGAAAATAAACAAGCTCTAAATAATTATAGTTTTTATTTTTCATCTTTTTATATTATCATTATGTAATTTTAATTATTATAATCAAGTTTTATTTACAATTTTTAAATTTTCATTCTTCTTCTTGAAAATCTTATAAACCGAACGTGTCAAATCATTTTAAACTATTTTCTTTTGGGACTTAACCTTCTAAATATCATGTTCCATCCAAAATTGAAAAGGTATAAATCTTCCTATCTTTGAAACTCTTCGCACTATATAAAGTATTTTAAATTTTATTAATCTTTTGTTTTGAAAATTTTTAAATTGTTTAGATCTCAAATTTATTCTAAACTTTTAGTTATTTGAGTGAAAAAATAAATATCTGAGGTTTTTTTTGTGAAATAAAAGTAAAAAATAAACTTCATTATACTAATTAAAACTTTAAACTTAAGTACGAAACTATTATTGGATTAAAATTACACACAAATTACAATAAAATGATGAAAATGTTATTAAGTCTCCACACAATACTCAATATATCAGTTTCTTAAAAATTCTGAAAAACTGTTTAATTAAGTAATTTTATAAGCCTGCCTGTTTAGAAAATGTTTGTTCCCTCCAACAAGCTAACTTGTTTTGTGCATACTTTTAAAAACTGGGTTGTGCCAAAAACAATTATTAGGGTATGTTTTTTCTAAATATAGTATAAATTTATATTATATTTAGAAAAAAATAAAAAACTCTTTTTAAAAGAGAAATTAAACATACTCTTAGTGTTTATGGATTTTTAGAATTGTCATTCCTGTTGATTGGTGTTCTTTGTGCTTTAGGAGGTCCTATGTGTTAAGGTTTTATAAAATTACGAGCCGGTATGTGATTAATTTGATACCATGATTGAAAGCTGAGTTTGATTTTAGGCAATGATGTGTATTTCGAAGTATTAATTTAGTTAAGAGTTGATATTTATAAACCTCCTCCTTATGGCACACATGGACCAATAAATTTGAATAGAAAAGGAAGGGAAATAAAGGATTTTTTTTTTCTTTTGCCTGACTTGGGCTTCGAAGACTTTTCCTTAAAGTATATTTGCAATGTTTTGATGTTATATTAATTTTATTCAGTTATTGAGAAGGTTTCTTTATGATTTTTTTTTTTGACAAGTGAATGATTAATTTCTTAAACTACACTCAAACTTTAAAGTATATGAACTCTTTCATTTATTTTACATATACATAAATCTTAAGATCAAACCTAAGATAGCAAGATTACACGTTTAAGGGGGACCAACATACATTATAAACTTAAATTCTTCATATTATATAAGTCGTTCGATATATTGTCTAAAACTTGTTTATTAATTGAATCCTATAATGGAGTTATATTAGGAAAAATTAGGAAAAAAAGTTAAGTATTCATTTGATAATAACTTATTGCCATAGACTATTTTAAAATTTTGTGAAAATAAGTTTAAAATTCTTATAAAAAATTATATATCACTTTAATAAACTTAACAAGCTGTTTAATTTATACAATAAATAATAAATACTTAGGTCATGCTTTTTTTTTTAAACTTGTTAGGTAATTGGCTAAAAAAATGCCCCCCCCCCCAAAAAAAAAACCCTAAACAAAACATACAATTTATTTAATATTACATTTCTTATGATGTGAATGTGAGAGAGAATGGGAGAAAAAAAAATAAAATTAATTTATACTATATTAATCTAAGTCAAAATTATTCTTAAATCACTAAATTGTTTTTGTTAGATGATTTTATTTTATAATCTATTATTAAATTGACAATTCTTATTGTATAGATTATATTTATAGTGTTTTTTTTATAATAATTCAAATTTATTTAATATTTTATTTAAATATAGTAATACTCGATACCTCAAACAAGTCAACCGCCAAACTATTAGACTTCATCAATTCATGTACCTGTTAATCAATTTTATAAAAAAATAATTTATATTTGTTTAAATGATAATATATGTAATATTAAATCTATTCTTTCCATTATATTTTTACTTTTTCACCTTAAACTTGAAGCATAGGTATAATATTTTCTAATATTTGTATTTAATATTATTATATTTATCATTGTTATTATTTTCATCTAATATCGTTGTATTTCCATCGTAAATATATTTTTTAACTTTAAATATACGGTATTATAATTTATAATATTCAACTCTGATACTTTAATGTTGGAATTTTATGTTTAATTATATTTTTATATTTATTATAATTTTATATTTTATTTATTTTATTTTTATTATTTCATAGTAAGGTATGAAAACTGTTAGCTGACTAAACTGCGAATGAGGATGAAAACTAGGTATCTAATAAGTATACGATGATAGAAATTAAAATTATTACTCAACATGCGTTAAGATGGCACAAGTGATTTAAAAACTTTCACTTATTATTTTTATGTTTGATTTAGGAAATATTTTAAAATATAAGAGTTTGATAAAGATAAGATATAATAAAATATAAAATATATTTAAATAATAAAATTATTTTTTATTAAAATTAATATAATTTGTAAAGATGTTTTTATTTAATATAAATTGACTTTTTAATAAAAAAAAGTACTAAAAATTAAATGATCGGTGGAGAATGAACACTGACACGTGATTTTAAGCATTTATGAATGTCTACATTATCTTATTATGCTCTACAGGCTTCAACCATTGTAGCTTCAAGCATATTTAGTTATTGTGATTAGTTTTTATATTACTTTCGATGAACATCAGAGGAAAAAAACTCAAATTTGTATATCGCATATAATAAATTTTAAATTATCAAATTGACGTAAGAAATTTTACTTTCTAGAAGATCAGTGTTATGTCTGTTACTTTAATTTGTGTATATTATAAAATTATAAATACTTATTTATTTAAGTATTTATTCAATAAGTTATTATAAATAAAATGTTACTAAATTATTGAATAAAATGAGTAAAACTGGTTTATATCAACAAAATGAATAAAAATAAGAAACAATAATATACTAGAATTGAACTAATACAAACATTTTTTTTCTTTGACAAATCATATTAATTCACGTAGGAGATAGTTGACTTTGATGAAAGAAAAGGAGTATAAAAATTACACATTACGTAATTAAGTAGGTTATAAAATTTAAATTTAAAATAAAATTATTATATTCTAAACAATAATTTAATTAAGAAAGTACAATAAGTAAAATAAAAAGAAAGATTATATAATTAAAGATTTTATACGTATCTGAGTTAAAATTGAGCACAAAATATCTGTTAATTAATTTTGAAAAAAAAGATAACTAAAGGTTTTATATGAACTCAAGTCCGTTGAGCGTACAATATTTTCTGTAATTTGACTGTAAAAATTCCAAAAATATCTATTCGAGTATCATGTTCATGTGTATGCGTGTCTCCTTGCGCGTGAGGTGTGTAAATGGATAGAATTTTCTTCATCTATATATATTTTTAAAATAAATGACTAAATAATGAGTATAAATTAAAAACAAACAAAATTATGAGTAGATATTACAATTAAATTCATTATTTAGTTTATAATAATGGTAACTATAGACTTTCTTAATTTTATATTTTAAAAAAGATGATTGGCATCGTGCCAGTAATTATTGAAAAGATTAAATACATTTTTTTAGAAATTTAAATTTAAAAGTGATTTTTAACCTTTCATTTTAAGATCTAAATTCCTTTCAATTTTAGCAAGAATTGGACATCGAGTTCATTTTCGCTTAAGCGAAAATGAACTTACTTAAACAAATATAATGCAGAAAATAATTTTTTATACAAAATTAGCTTAAACAAAAATTTTTGGCTTAAGTAAATTTTGTACATTCGATGATATGAAAATTAGGTGTAAAGAAAAAAGAGGACTAAGGTTAGATAGAAATAAAGAAAGTAGATGTTATAGGAATGATGGTGGAGGAAAAGAAAAATAGAAAGTTTGGTATGGAAGAAAGAGGGAAAAATAAATATGGAATAGGGTAAGAGTAGAAAGATGAAGAAAGAAATTGGGCATGAGATAAACGGAAGAGTGAGTTGAGAGAGGAAGAAAAGAGTTAAGTATGAGAGAATAAAAAATTTTGAATATACAGCCTAAAAGGATTAAATGTAGAAATTGAAGAGGGAGTGTTAAGCATGAGGAGAAGAAAAAGAGAAAATTAAGAGAGAAAATGTAAAATTCACTTAAGTTAGTTTTACGTAAAAAACATTTGTTATTTTTTATATTTTTACTTAAATAAAAATAGAATTGTATGTCTAATTCTTGCTAAAATTAGAGAGAATCTAAATCTTTCTCTCTACCATGACATGATGTTTTTATTTTTCCCACACTTCTTTTGTAAAATATATATATATATATATATATATATATATATGAAAAATGATAAAAAAAGATTAAACTTCATAAACCTTTTTTGTTGTGTTAGCAAAATTAATGGTAATTGAAATTTCTGAATGTAAATAATTAATTTGTTGATTTAAGTGTCGGATAAAAATATTTAAAATTAAAAATCAATCATTTCTTTATTGAAAGTGTGACCTCCCCAAGAATTTAGAAAAAGTCATAAAATAAAATAAAATCATCTTTATCATTATCAAATATGCTAACGTGACTTTACCATAGAAAGAGC